CGCCTGGCCGGGGAAGCCACCCCACATGCACGCGCCGGCGCTCAGGCGCCTCCGGAACAGCTGGCGAAAAGGCAACCGTGCCACATCTGCCTTTAACACAACTGGCCAGAGCCTGTTTAAAACAAGAAGGAAGAAAATCGTGCTTGACCAGCCCCGCCCCGCCCCTCTCCCCGGGAGGAGGCGGGCTGCAGTCGGGCCCACTGTCCGAACACACATCCCCACCGACACTAGCAAGAGCCCCAGTCTCCCTCCCCAACATTTACTTCCCTCACCCCCTCTCCAGGCGGGCGGAGGCCGTGGAGGCCACTGACATGCCCGCTGTGTGCTCCCCCGAACTCGGCGGGAGGGCCGGTAGGCCGCAGACCCCAGCCACGGAGGTGCCCCCAGTGCCCGCGCCCATGCACACGCGCACGCACACCGCCCCCCAGGCGCCCGAAGGAAGACCTGAGCGGGCACAGGAGCACGACACTAACCAGGGACTTTCATCTTCCGCAAGGGCGCTGCCGAGGCCGCCCCGGCGCCTTCAGGTGTGGGCTCTAAACATCAACGGCCTCGCGAAAGTGACACATTAAACGTTTTGAAAAACTGGATATTCCGGAGCTACAATTTTGCCACATTGATGTATTTTAAAATCAAATGACTGCCAATTTCAATAACTTTGTTTCCATAAACAAAGCTCTTAGAAAATTCTTGTTTCTCTTTTCACTTTTTGAGTAAAGCCAGCAGCGCAGGTAAAAACTTCAAAGCCCGCACAGACCGAGGAGAAAGGGCCCGGGCAACTCTGGCTGCAGCTGAAGGGGCTAAAGCGACAGAACGGGAGGGCGGGCGGAAACCATCACCAGCCTGGTGCAGGGTAACTGCAGAGGCTTTTACTTCCCTTATGAAAGACAGCGGCAGCCCTGTCTCGCCTAATGGGCCTCGGCTCCCTCTGTGTCCATCTTCCTTGGCATCCTCTGAAACCCCGCTCGCGTGTTCCCAGCCACCGTCACCCTTCAGACAGCGCGTTTTCCAAATACAAAGGGAGGATGCACGAGGCCATCTGGAGATCATTCCCGATGTACAACTCAAGGCCCGGGCTCCTCGAGTCCAGCCTAGCAGCGTTACTGGATTAACAGCAGAACCTGCTTCTCGCTCCTCCCGATCGTCCCCTGCTCCATGACGACACCACAGGTCAAAGTTCTCAGTGTTGGCAGGAAAGACGCGACACCATTGTAATAAACAAAAGATGGTGTTAATAACATTGAAGGGCTCATCTCTTCCACAGGCATCATTTCAGGCTAATTACTAAACCCACATTTGGAGGCAAAGCTACCAAGCAGTCTTGACAACACCCGAGGCCTGCCCTCACCACACACCGAGAACGATGGCGCTTCCAGAGCAGAACCACAGCCGACAAGCGCCCCGTCTTTCCTTGAAGAACTCACTGGGGAGACGTGAACAGCGGACACAGGACGGCTCGCTCCTAGATCGCATTTTCTCCCAGGCACAGGGACTCAGAAGGAAAGTAGGATCAGCTGTGAAGACTTAAGTTTGAGTACAACTTAGTAAGTTTGGTGTCACTTGCTTCTGAGGAGCAAACTGGTTCATGGTTAAATAAACGGAGAGGACCGATCTATCCAGATGGATGTAAACCACCACCGTAAAGGCGCGCAAGCACGCACCAACACTGGTGTGCAAAACAGCACGGGGCCACGCCCCAGCACAGAACTAACGCCGCGCTCGTGTCTGAGGGGTAACTGCGGCACTAGCAACCGGGCTGTATAATCATCAGCTTCCCAAACCACCTTAAACTCCCTACCAACCTGAGGACCTAAACTGCTGACTCGAAGCAGGCTTTCCTTCCACAACGCGGTGTCCCTAGCCTGCCACGATCTGTAGTGCCCAAGCTCCTATTTTCTTCTCAAAGGGGTGATGACACACACCAATCAATTGTGCTGTCCCACCAGACAGCCACCGCCCAGCCACGGGGCTACCTCATCTTCACTGCACCACCGCCCTGGTCTGCAGGGCAGCCACGGTGAAGGGGGCCACAGCGGGCCTGCACCTTAACGCATCAGCTTATGGGGTGGCTAAGTGACCACGCTTGTGGGACAGTGTTTTGGGGGTGAGGGCGGGATGAGAGTCTCGGACAGTGATCAAGTACACACAAGGCTATTGACCAAGGAGTGAATCTAGTGGGAGGGAAGGAGAGAGAAAGAAGAGGCAGTGGCCCGAGGTGACTCACTCAGGAAGCTCTGAGCCGGGCAATAAGTCAGAGTAAGGAGATGGAAAGAAGAGGTCAGGCTGTGGCAGAAGGGAAACTAACAGGAAGAGGTTTCACGGGTTTCCCAGGAGCCTGAACTCGCTCAAGGTCCCCAGGCCCAGGTCGCCTACGGCCCACACGGCGCCGTTCTTCCTCCGAGCCCAGCCTCCTGCTCCTCCCCAGGCCTGACTCGAACTTTCTGCGAGCCACGGGCCCGTGCAGCCTGCTCCGCTTTTCCTCCACAACACAACGTGACCACACAAACGCCCTACACGGAAAGAATTCAGCGCACACAGTCCTGTGTCATCTCGGACGGCACTGAAAGATGAATGTGTTCTCCGGATGATGGGCACCTTAATTATTACCTTCTTAAGCAAAAGTCAGCTTATAAATTTGGTTCATCTAAGTGAAGCATCAAGTCACACCTGTTAAACGTGCCAGTTCTCATCCTGAAATGATCCTTTCATTCAGCAAATAGGAGACAGAGCCTCCCTTCCCACTTCACGGTCTTAGCAGTCAGTTTAAAACAAGAAAACAAACAAAAAACAGCAAAAACCCCACGAAGTGGGCCTCCCCGGTGGCGCAGCGGGTTGGGCGCTGCGCTGTGAAGCTGTCTGCAGCCTCTGCAGCTTCGATCCCAGCCTGCCAGGGAGAGTCCCACATGGCGCAGCAGATCTCTCCTGTCTCGCCCGCTGTTCCCCTCAGCAGTGTGTTTCGTCTGTCTGCCTGTTCTGCTCCCTGCTCTCTCTGGTGAAACCTCTCACCCCCCCATGCCTCTGACCTGTACCCCCCAGTTCTTGTATAAATAAATAAATCTTTTAAAAAAACCTACAAAGTATCAATAATGCCCGCACAGGCCCCTCCGGAAGTCCTGAGCCAACAGCCTTCAACAGTCTGACACCTCTCTCAAGTTCAGCTCTCTCTGACCACTTCCCTAGCAAACATTTCCCCTGAGCTCCGCCATCACACTTTAGCCACCCAGGGCCAGACACATCACTCTCCCCTGACATATCTGAAGGGGAAGAACTTGCAAAGAAGAAACCAAATCCAGCCTCTGTCTCACACTGTGGCCACCCACAAAGCGATGCCCTTCCTAGGACCCCAAGGAGGTACAGGACACGGGACACAAGACACAGGAACACCAATTCCTCCGACGCTGGGGGAGAGGCGGCCTGCCCAGGCGACCATCTTTAAAGAACTGGGACAAAAACTTGAATTTCCTCAGATGACGGCCTCTTCCCACTAAGTCCCACTAGAGGAGAACAGATGTACCGGGGTGGGGGCTGAGGCCGAGGGGCTCACTCAAGGACAGACGGCTGAGAAGCAACACAATTCGAACTGGGACGAATGTGGACGCCGGCCGTGTCTGCATACAGACTCCAGTCCACTCCCCGGATTCGCCGCCGTGCCCTGCAACTGCAGCCCACGTTTTCAGCGTCGCTGAACCAATTCGCCCAACCTCTGTCTCCGGACCCGAAATCCCCTCCGTCTGAGGTGCTCCCCGTGCAGCTTTTCTTTTGCCGCGCTCCAGTCAATGCTTCAAGTCAGAGGTGACACCTCTCAGGCGCCGTTGTCCTCGTGCCCTGAGCACGCGGACGGCCGTGTCACCCGCCCTTTCTCTGGAATTAAGCACTAGCGGACTCAGGGGGCTCAGGGCGGACATGGCTGTGCTGTCACGCAGCGGCTCCCGACACCTGACCCTCGGAGCGGGCAGTCACTTCTTTGCACTTGTTTGTGGACTAGACGAATGACCCGCAGAAACAGCCACACCCGGCCCCGCCAGGGGACCCAGACGACTGCGGGAGACCCACATCCACCTCAGCTGCCTGGTGTGCCCCCAGGCTGGCGCCTCCGCAGCGGAGGCGAACACGGCCAGGCTAAAGCACACGACTAAAGCAGGCGGCTGGTTGCACCCGGGTCAGGCTCTGCGGCTCTTCTCTGCGTGTTCTCATTTCACCTGGAAAGCCCTTGATTCTTGACACCTTGGGAGTCGCTTCAGGGTGTGAAGCGGGGCAGCAAAGCGACCACTGCGGCTCTGGAGTATCTCCCCAGGGTCTTCCGCATAACTAAGAGGAAGGGTGCCCTCTGGGTTCAAACGTGCCACCTGCCCACTCGGGGCGGCCTTCCCTCGGGCACAAGCAACTGGGGCGCCTGGGACGGCGGTCGGCGCGTGAACACCTGGCGGGTCCAGGGGCCGGCAGGGCGACGGGCGGTGGCCGGCCTGGGTCTGAAGCCGCGCGGCCTGTCCTCGGCCCCCGCCCACCACCCCGCCGGGTCGGCGGGCGCCCGCGAGCAGGGCCCTGGGGTCTCGCTCCGTCCCCCTCCCAGGCCAGGCGCGCGCCTGCCGCACGGGCCTCCAGCCCCGGAGAGGGGAGGCCGGGCCGGGCCGGGCCCGCGGTCCCACGCGCTGAAATCTGGTGGACAGGACTGGGGGGGGGGCCTAAAAAACACAGGGCGCCGGCTGGGGCCTGCCCGAGCGGCTCCCGGGCCCTGGGGGGAAGCGGCCGCCAGCAGCGCGCAGCGCGGGGGCGCGAGGCCCGGCCCCCCCGCGGAGCCGCCCCCCGCGGAGCCCCCCAGGCGCGGCTGCCCTCATGGGGCTTCCCGTCGGCGGCGGCCGCGGCGGTCACGTGGGCGCGGGCGGGCGGCACAGGCGGGGCGGGCGGCGCGGGAGGCGGCGGCCGCGGGCCGGGCCGGAGCGCGGGCCGGGCGGGCGGGCCGGGCCGGGCCGGGCCGGGGCGGGCGGGGGCTCCGGGCTCACCTCGGAACTTGAGCTCGTGCTGCGGCTCGAGGCTCAGGACCTGCTCCACCTTCGCCATGTTCCTCGGCGGCGGCCTCCGGCGGGGAGACCCGAGAGGTCACCTGCGGCGGGCGCGCGGAGGCGGCGCCCCCTTTAAATCTGGAGCGGGGCGGGGGGGCCGGCGGGGCGCGCGCGGGGGTCGCCGGCGGGGCGCGCGGGGGGGGCGGCCTACGCGGTGCAGGCGCAGGGGCGGAGGGCGAGGGCGAGGCCGCGGTGCCCGGCGAGCGCACGGCACGCACGCACGCACGCACAGACGCACAGACGCACGCACGCACGCACGCAGGCACGCACGCAGCGGGCTGGTTGGCTCCGGCGGCGGGAAGCGGCGCCGGGCCCTCCGGGGCAGTGCGCAGGCGCAGCCGCGGGGGCGGGGCCTCCAGGCGAGGGCGGGGCGTGCCGCGGCGGGGGCGGGGCGTCGCGCGGCTGTGCTGGGCCCTGCACGCCCAGGTGACAGCTTCATTCTGGGTGCACCTGGGCGGCCTGTGCGGGAGGCGCCTGCTCCAAAAAAAAGCATAAACTCGCACTTTTCTCTTGCTTATGTCGGGGCAGGTTACAGGCTTTGAATGACAATGAAAGCACTAGTTATTCTTCTTAAATCATGATGTTTATGGCTGAGTGCTGGGTGCTGGGCAGGGAGATGGGCATGATAATAAATATAAATTAAACATAGTAAATATAGTAAGCCACCCGTTATGCTAATGGGGTGCCACTCTGATGAACGCGTTCCGGAGCAGCAGCAACTCTAATAAACAGAAGTTGCTCTACATGAAAGGTCCCCATGTAAAAAGCTCTGCGCAGACTCCCTTACTAAGGGATGCTGCAAATATTTAGAAATACAAGGATGGGAGAAGGTGGCCGGGCTCCTGTTCTCGCTAGAGCCATGTGGAGAAGTAGCCTGCTGCATAATGAGCCACGCAAATAAGTTGTCCTTAAAAGTGCCGGCAACACAGCAGCTGCCCTCACGCGTGAACATCGTGGTGAATGTTATTTCATGGTATAATGTGTGGCACTAAGTCGTGCGCCCTTCATAGGCCCCTCTAGGGTACAGATGAAACAAACGGCCAATAATTAATAATGCTCCCTGGCTGCGGCAGGCAAGTGGGTAACTTTTGTATTGTTCTTTCCACTTTTCTGTACCCTTCAAATTTTTCATAATAAAAGTTTAAAAAAGCTAATCTTGGTCTTTTAACTGGAGCATTTTGTCCATTTACGCTTATTATATATATATATAACCAATATATCTGAATTTATTTCTACTGTCTTCTTTTGTGCTTTCTACCTGTTTTTCTTCCCCTTTCTTGCTTCTTTAAAGGTTACTTTTCTTCTCCATCCAGTTTTTTTACACACTCTATTTCTATTACTTTAGTGATGACCCTAGAAATTTTGACATGGGTATTTAGCTTATGAAAGTACATTTAAAAATATTTCTTTAGCTTGTTGCTCCCTTTAAGGCCTTTGGGATACTTTAATCATCTATTCCTCCCAGTACATGCCTTACTTGTAGCATTTCTAAAGTTTAAGCTCTTGTTGCACCCCATGAGTGATTACTAAATTACTATACCAAATTTTTCATACTGTCCATGGGCCATGGGCCAGTATGAACACCAAACAATTTTACTCATCTTTTTTCTTCCTGTACCTGAGAACTTACAACTGTGGTCACACTCCTTGTGTCTAAAGCTCATCTCTTAAATTCTATTTCAGTGGGCCTCCCCTGGTGGCACGGCGGTTGAGCGCTGGGTTTCGAAGCTGCCTGCGGCTTTTGCAGCGCCGGTTCGATCCCCAGCTGCTCCCTGGCCACCGGAGGAGGGTCCCACATGGCGCGCAGACCTCTGCAGACCTCTCCGCTGCCCGCTGCTCCCCTCAGCAGTGTACTTCGGTCCCTCTGCCTGCTCTGCTCCCCGCTCTGGCTCTGGTGAATTCTCTCACCCGCCCACGCTTCTGACTGTACCCAGTGCTTGTATAATATAAATAAATAAATCTTTAAAAAAAAAAAAAAAAGATGACACCATGAGTTCCATAAAAAGAAAAAAAAAATTCTATTTCAGTGAGGGATTGTTTCTGTTTATCTGAAAGTAATTTTATTCTGCTCTTGGTCTGGAAAGAGGTTCTGGCAGGCTCACTAGCTTGGCGGTTGTCATCCCCAGCACTGGGAAGATCCCACACTGTAGGTCCCAGCTCCCACTGTCCATCTTGAGGTTGCAGTTGACTGTCCCACCCTTTACCCAGAGACAATCTGGTTCCAATCATTCCAGGCCCCCATGGTTTTAACCCAGTACATCTGTTGGCTATGTCAGTTCAGACTGCTTAATAAAATACCATCAACTGGGGGGTCTTAATAACAGCAAATATTCCCCACAGGTCTGGGACGTTCCACACCAAAGCACCAGCAGATTCCATGGGGGGCAAACCCCACTTCCTGGGTCCTGGTTGGCTGGTCTCTTGCTCCCTGGGGTCTCTTTTATGGGGTATTAATTTTATTCAGGAGGGTTCCACCCTCATGCCCTGATCACCTCCCAAGAGCCCCACATCCAAACACTATCACATCCAGGGGGCCTCCTCCGTGGTGCGGCAGGTTGAGCACTGTGCTGTGACGCTGTCCCCAGCCTCTGAAGCGCGGGCTCGATTCCTGGCTGGCCAGGAAGATACCCACATGGCGCAGCAGACCTCTCCTGTCTTGCCCGCTGCTCCCCTTGGCGGTGTCTTTGGTCTGTCTGCCTGTTCTGTTCCCTGCTCTGTCCGGTGAATTCTCTCACCCTCCCGCGCCTCTGACCTGTACCCCAGTTCTTGTATAAATAAATAAATCTTAAAAAAAAAATACAAACACTATCACATCCAGAATTAGGTTTCAACACAGGATTTGGCGGGCAGGGAAGGGGGTGGTTTAAATGTTCAGTCCACAGCACCTACCCTGCGTGAACTCTCCAGCTCTCTGAATTTGTTGATTGGTATCTTTCATTATTGTAGAACATTCTCAGACAACGTTTTAAGAAAATTTTTCTAATGGTAAAATACACGTAACAAAATGTTCTATTTTAACCATTTTCAGTCTACTGTCACAGCATTAAGTACATTCACAAGGTTGTGTGACTGTCTGCAAAACTCTTCATCTTGCTGACGTGAACTGCGCACCCATTAAACTCCAACTCCCTGCCCCACCCCAGTCCCTGACACCCACCGTCCTGCTCTCTGTCTCTATGACTGTGCCCACCCCAGGGTCCTTCCTCTGTGTCTGGCTATTTCATTCAGCAGCACGTCTTCCAGGCTCCTTCATCTCAGCCCATGTGTCGCAATATCGCTTTTAAAAACTACCTCAGGCTCGACCTCTCCCTCTTTCTCTTCTGGAAGTCTGACTAGCAGTTTATTCAACCAGTGTTTCAAACTGTAGGGTGTTTCCCAAGAGTAACTTATAAAATCAATTTAGTAGGTTGTTCGCAGCCTTGAGAAAGAAAGCAGATAGAAAATATTGGAGTGTATTGTAGTATTTCAAGAAACTTTTGCCTCAGTTGTATTTATTAACACACCGATACGTATATCCATGTAGTGAGTAGAAATAAAATGCATTTATTACTGCAGAAAGAGAAGACAGTCTATAAAGCACTTAGACTTCCCATTCCACTCTTCAAGTCTCTGCTCCTCTGTGTTGTAACTTAATCTCTCATCTTCATGTCCCGCATTCTGGGTATTCTTCAAACCCTTCTTGCAGTCACTAATTCTACCTCCTACCGACGCTAAACCTAATGTGGGAGTTTTTCATTCCAGTGCCGTCTTTAAGCCTGTAAATTCTACTTTGCTCATATATCTGTATCTATCTTTTTTTCCACACATATAACTTGTACATGTGCGTCACACCCGGTCACACTTGCAGGTGTTGAACACGGCTCCTTTCCTCCCCGGGAATGGTCCTAGGTCAGGGTTTTAGCGCCTGGCCCCTGAGAAAACAGGGGGCGCCCCGTCCACCTGGCCCCAGGTAGCCCATGTTCTTGGACCAGCTTCCACACCCGCCATCAGGGCCACGTTGGAAATAAACTCACAGAGCAGGAAGAGACTGATGTCCACGGGTGCGTCACCTGGTCCCCTCGATTCTGAGAGTCTGTGCTGCAGTGGATGCCCTCGGTGGGTGTCCCCAGAGGACACGCACCTGAGCCAGGCCCGCCCTGAGCTGTGAGCCCCTGCCACCTCCCACACCGTGGCCTCACCAGCCAGCCTGCCTGCGTCTGCGGCCTCTGCCCCGGCCACTAAGGAGAGGCCAAAGGTCAGGCCTGTCTTCCAGCAGGACCACGTTCCCGGATACTGGGCTGGGCCCATTGGAAAGTGCCCGCGCCCACGTGGCTCGCAGGGACACCTGGACGCCTCGACCACAGCTCTCCGGCCTCACATGCTTTGCGCATGCTCAGTCCACGTGGGGGTTTCTGGTAATGGGATTTCACACAGCAGCTCAGGGCCCCAAGGCCCCGGGAGGGCCCGGCAGGCCAAGCAAAGAGACAGAGAGAGTGAGCAAGCTGGGTCGGAGCCACTTTGCTTTTTGAAAGCTCGTCCCAAAAGTCACACGGGGTCACCTGCCCTCTGCGTTCTAGCCCTGGAGGCCTGTCCTGGTTCAAAGGGAGGAGGCGGACGCTGCTCCGGGTGGGATGTAAGACCCACAGGAACGATGGGGCTGGGAACACTGCAGTCACCTCTGGATCCTGCGACCCGCTGGACCTGAGCTCCAGGTGGCCCCTCCAGAAGGGACCCGCCTTTGCTTCTGCCTGGTGGGGCCCTGGGTGGGCAGCAGCCAGGGCAACAGCAAACCTTTGGGAAGGCAGCTTGGGCTTCCGGGGCAATGACCCTTCCCCTTCTTTTGGACGTGGGCGGGTGGTTGTTTTTGGTGTGGTTTTTTTTTTTTTAGTTTGTTGAACATTAAAGGATCCTACTAGACTCGGGGCGGGGAGCTCTGACTTTTGTTGTCCATCTTATGGAACATAAAAGACAGAACGTCAAAGCTGCTTTTCGCAGCCTTCAGCAGCTTTCCAGGACAAAATCCTGCCACTGGAGTCCGTTCATTTCTGAGGGTTTTATCTTCCCCTTCCTTTCAGACATTGGAGCCCTTCTGGTGCCGGCTCATCGGCGCCCCTAGAACACCGTACACAGCACGTGAGCGGCTGTGACTGGAGGGTCACCCAGAGCGACCAGTCCCCCATAATGCCAGAATAGGGGTCTCGTGAATACAGTTTTCATGTTAAAATATTTGTATCGCACCCAGCTCTTAGGTCTGCGTTTCTGGTATCACTCGCAGCGCATGGAACTCGTTGGGAAAATGGCTGATTCTAGGGCAGGAACAGGGAACAGATGAAC